TCAAATATTCTACTCAAAATCGAATCATGGTGATGCAAAATAGCTTTTCAATTTGAACTTCTTGGGCCCTCCGATCATGGTTCTGTTAGTAAGTAAACTTAATTTGGTCCAATTAATATTGGGTTATCCAAAATTATTAACTTGGACCATGAATCTTTATGTTTAATCCTAAGCCCAAGTCCAATGAAGAATTGTCTAGATAAGAAGATATCTAGAAGTAGAAAGTTCTAGAAATGTTCTACATAAATATCAAGAGTATGTAGAAAAATTCATGGAAAATATCTAGAAGAAATATCTAGATATTAGTAAGGAAAAGTCTAGATATTAGAATAAAATATGTAGATATTTAGAAGGAGTAGAAACATCTTGAAAGAGTGTAGAACCTTCCATGCACTCCTATAAATAGGAGTTAACCCCCTAATGTAAGTATGTGTAGAGAGTTGTGAGAAACCTTAAACTAAAAGCTTAACACACTCCACCTTGTTTCCTTTTACTACAAAGTAGTAAAGCTCCCTTTCTCCCAAAATTTCCTTCTCTTCCATTTTCACTTCCTAAACCTATCACTTAAAAGATCTCTTCCTATAACCCAAAGGGTTCTTTTGCTAACAAACCGGTATCGAGTGGTGTTGGTCCACTTTGAAGTAAGATGGCAAATGGAATGATCTCTTTCCAATTCCCTCAACTTACCAAAGAAAACTATGGTAAGTGGTCCATTCGAATGAGGGCGATCTTAGGCTCTCACGAGGTTTGGGAGATTGTTGAGAAAGGTTATGAGAAACCTCTAGATGAGGCTTCTTTGACTCCGCCCAAAGGGGGAACTCAACAAAGCAAGGAGAAAGGATCAACAAGCTCTTTCACTTATCCATCAATGTCTAGATGATTCCATGTTCGAGAAGGTGGCAAATGCTTCTACATCAAAGGAGGCTTGGGATATTCTAGAGAATGCTAATAGAGGCATTGAGAAGGTTAAAAAGGTACGTCTTCAAACTCTTAGAGGAGAATTTGAAGCTTTACAAATGGAGGAGTCCGAATTTGTTTCGGATTATTGTTCTCGTGTCTTGAAAGTGTCAAATGAGATGAAGAGGAATGGAGAAAGCTTGAGCGACACAAGAGTAATAGAAAAAATTCTTCGCTCTTTGACACCAAGCTTTGATTATATTGTGGTAGCAATAGAGGAGTCAAAAGATCTTGACTCTATGACCATTGATCAACTCATGGGTACTTTAGTAGCCCATGAAGAGAAACTAAAGAAGAGAAGGCCCAAAGAATCTTTGGAGCAAGCTCTCTACACAAAACTCTCTTTCAAAGAAAGAGATGGAGGCTTTGGACGTGGCGAGGGCCTTGGACGAGGCAATAGTGGATGTCAAGGACGTGGACGAGGAAGGGCTCGAGGTGGCTACGTTCAATCCACCAAGGATGACAATAACAAAGGTTCTCAATCTACAAGAGGTCGTGGAAGAGGTATGAAGTTTCAGAAAGTAGGTAAATCTCGAATCCAATGCTTTAATTGCCAGGAATATGGTCACTATGCAAGTGAGTGTAGGAATTCTAGTCAAGTAAAAGAGAAAGCCAATCTTATGGAGGTTAAAGATGAAGTTCAACTCACTCTCTTAATGGCAAGACACGAGGACGAAGGAGAGAAGAAGACGTGGTATCTTGACTCATTGCGAGTAACCACATGACTGGGGAAAAAAGGCTGTTTGTAGACATGGAACCAACCAAAGGGTGCGTGATGTTTGGAGATGATTCTAGAGCAAGGGTTGAAGGCAAAGGTAAGATACTAATCCTTGCTAAAGATGGAAGTCACCAATACATCTCAGAAGTTTATTATGTTCCAAGTCTTAAGAGTAATATCTTGAGCTTGGGACAACTTCTGGAGAAAAATTACGATATTCATTTGAAAGATCGTAGTGCCATAGTTAAGGATCCAGAAGGAAAATTGATTACCATTGTGCCAATGACAAGTAATAGAATGTTCTTGTTGAACATTCAACATGAGAACTGCATGAAAGCATGCTTGAAGGATGATTCGTGGATTTGGCACATGAGGTATGGTCATTTAAATTTTGGTGACTTGAAAATGTTATCTACCAAATGCATGGTGAAAGGAATACCTCCTATCAATCAGCCCAATCAAGTATGTGAAGGATGCTTACTTGGGAAGCATTCGAGGAGTGCTTTCCCAAAAGAAGCAACATCAAGAGCTAAGGAGCCTTTAGAACTCATCCATACAGACTTATGTGGTCCTATCTCTCCGCCATCCCATGGTAAGAACACCTACTTCATTCTATTTATTGATGATTTCTCTCGAAAGAGTTGGGTGTATTTTTTGAAGGAGAAATCACAATCCTTTGATGCCTTTAAGACATTTAAGGCTGTGGTGGAGAAGGAGAAAGGCTTGAAAATCAAAGCCTTAAAGTCTGATAGAGGTGGAGAATTCACATCAAGTGAATTCACCAAATTCTGTGAAGAACATGGGATTAGACGATTCCTTACTGCTCCTTACTCTCCGCAACAAAATGGAGTTGCTGAAAGGAAGAATAGAACCATTCTCAATATGGTTCGTAGCATGCTAAAGAGCAAGATGCCAAAGGAGTTATGGGCTGAAGCGATTGATTGTGCAAGATACCTACTAAATCGATGTCCCACGAAGAGTCTAGAAGACAAGACTCCACAAGAAGCATGGAATGGGACAAAGCCCACAGAAATCACCTACGAGTATTTGGGAGTATAGCATATGCCCATGTACCAAGCCAAAAGCGGTCCAAACTTGATGATCGAAGCGAGAAGCATGTCTTTGTTGGCTATGACAAACAGTCAAAAGGTTATAAGCTCTACAATCCAGTCACGAACAAAGTTATTGTGAGTAGAGATGTAGAGTTTGATGAAAAAGGAACACAGGCTGGAATATTGAAGGTGACGAAAGCTATGACTTCCTTCCTGTCATCCATGAATACGATGATGACAGTAGTGATGCAGGTGAAGATACTCAGCAACCTCAAAGTCCACATTCACCTTTGAATGAAGAGTCACAAAGGACAAAAAGCCTACAAGAGATCTATGAGGAAACAGAACGCATAGAGGCTCTCACACTCTTCTGCCTTTATGCTGACTGTGAACCTCTAGGTTACGAAGAGGCAGCAAGGAACGAGAAGTGGAGACACGCTATGGATGAGGAAATAAGATCCATAGAAAAGAATCAAACTTGGGAGCTAGCCTCTCTTCCAAAAGGCCACAAAGCAATTGGAGTAAAGTGGGTGTTCAAAGCAAAGAAGAACGCTAAAGGAGAAGTTGAGAAGTACAAAGCAAGACTTGTCGCCAAAGGCTACAAGCGAGACATGGCATTGACTACGAAGAGGTATTTGCTCTGTTGCTCGCTTGGAGACTATCAGGTTAGTAATTTCTATCGCTGCCCAAAATAGATGGAAAATCCATCAAATGGACGTAAAGTCTGCATTCTTAAATGGCTTTCTTGAAGAAGAAATATATGTGGAGCAGCCAGAAGGATATGTGGTCAAAGGCGATGAGAATAAAGTTCTCAGGCTAAGGAAGGCTTTATATGGTTTGAAACAAGCACCAAGAGCCTGGAATACAAGAATTGATCACTACTTTCAGGAAAATGGTTTCAAGAAATGTCCTAGCGAACATGCACTCTATGTGAAGTTTTCAGGCAATAGAGATATGTTGCTTGTTTGTTTGTACGTGGATGATCTCATCTTCACAGGAAATTCACCTAGCATGATCAAAGATTTCAAGAAGACAATGACTAAAGAGTTTGAGATGACTGATATAGGACTTATGTCCTATTATCTTGGCATCGAGGTCAAGCAATTGGATGATGGAATCTTCATCTCTCAACAAAGATACGCTAAGGAAGTTCTCAAGAAATTTGGCATGGAGAAGTGCAAGCCAATAGCCACCCCCATTGAATATGGAGCAAAGCTCTCAAAAGATGATGAAGGAGATGTTGTAGATCCAACTCACTTCAAGAGCCTTGTTGGAAGCCTACGTTATTTAACATGCACAAGGCCTGATATTCTCTTTGCTGTGGGACTTATCAGTCGATTTATGGAAGCACCTACTACGACACACTTGAACGCTGCCAAGAGGATACTTCGCTACATCAAAGGTACTATTGATCTTGGCTTGTTATATTCCTCATGTGATGACTTCAAGCTTGTGGGATTCAGTGATAGTGACTGGTCTGGAGACTTGAGCGAACGGAAAAGTACTCTTGGATTCGCATTCTTCCTTGGCAACACTTGCCTTTACATGGGTTTCTAAGAAACAACCTATAGTCACCTTGTCATCATGCGAGGCCGAGTACGTAGCAGCAGTATCATGTGTATGTCATGCTATCGGCTCGGGAGCATGTTGAAGGAGTTAAGTATGCCACAAGGAGAAGCGACAGAGATATATGTTGACAACAAGTCGGCCATCGATCCGGCAAAGAATCCAGTCTACCATGATCGAAGCAAGCATATTGATACAAGGTACCACTTCATAAGGGAATGTGTGGCCAAGAGGATCGTTGAGTTGAAGCATACAAGATCACGTGATCAAGTTGCGATATTTTCACCAAACCACTCAAAGGAGAAGACTTTGCAAGATTGAGGATGATGCTTGGAGTCACCAAATCAAGTTTAAAGGGGGGTGTTAGTAAGTAAACTTAATTTGGTCCAATTAATATTGGGTTATCCAAAATTATTAACTTGGACCATGAATCTTTATGTTTAATCCTAAGCCCAAGTCCAATGAAGAATTGTCTAGATAAGAAGATATCTAGAAGTAGAAAGTTCTAGAAATGTTCTACATAAATATCAAGAGTATGTAGAAAAATTCATGGAAAATATCTAGAAGAAATATCTAGATATTAGTAAGGAAAAATCTAGATATTAGAATAAAATATGTAGATATTTAGAAGGAGTAGAAACATCTTGAAAGAGTGTAGAACCTTCCATGCACTCCTATAAATAGGAGTTAACCCCCTAATGTAAGTATGTGTAGAGAGTTGTGAGAAACCTTAAACTAAAAGCTTAACACACTCCACCTTGTTTCCTTTTACTACAAAGTAGTAAAGCTCCCTTTCTCCCAAAATTTCCTTCTCTTCCATTTTCACTTCCTAAACCTATCACTTAAAAGATCTCTTCCCTATAACCCAAAGGGTTCTTTTGCTAACAGGTTCCTGGCTGAACAGTGGAAGAAGGAAATGGAACGACCTTCAAATGACTGCAAGTAAAGATCATATCGCCGTCGAATTGGCTACTAGTGACATGAACTTCTACCTGTAGATCAAAATTTATGGACCCATTTCTCTCCTGATCTTGAGCTATCAAACTTGCAACTCTGGAATCGAGACTCTGCTTTTCCCCGCGTGCTTCAGCGACTAATTTCGTTTGGGTTCTGGGATTTTGACGAAATGATGCAATGTTTCCTGCCTTGGCCAGAAAGAATCTGTTCTTGAATCCTCTGCCGTAGAACACCGAAACGTTAAAGCTGTCGTACTGAATATGATGGCGGCCGTCGACGTTCTTGACAAGAAGTTCCACGGTCCAATTGGCTGTGAGTTGAGAGATGGAACGATTCAGATGGAATGAAGAAATGGAGAGGGAATTGATTAAGATCTGTGGTTCCCGAGCGTCAAAATGATCAAGAACCCAGTAAGTTATGGCGCCAGAGCCCACTAAAACGAGAACCAAGAACATCAAGAAACCCAATGCCTTCAGACGACCCGGACCCCTGTTGTTTTGACGAGCTGGTGGTGGTGGTGGAGGATGGCTGCAGGCGGGAGAGTTCCCGGCAGCATGGAGTGGTGGTTCATTGCCATTAACAGGCGGATTTGAAGAGAGTTGTACACTCATTTTTTGGGGAGAGAATTCGGGAACAGAGTGGAGGAAAAGTTAAAAAAAAAAAGAAAGCAAAGAAAAAGGGTTCAAAATCAATCGGAATTGAGAAGGAGATGAAGGAAATCAGAATTCATGGCTTTGGACTTAAAAAATGCTGTGAATCGATTTCCAATATCGTAAAAAAAAATTGCCCTTTTTTCTCTACTTTAATGTGAGGATCGGAGGAAGTGGTGAAGTGGCGGAGCCACCGGAGTACTATTTGTGAGGGTTAAATGTAAATGACCGACTCCGATCAAAATAATCAATGGCATTGGAGAGGTCAGTAGAAAATAGACAACGGACTGATTGGGTCACGTGGTGGGTCCATTATCAAGCTGATCTGTTGTGCAAATTTTGGATGAATTTTTTGGTTTTCAGGTAATGTGTGGAAAAAATTATGATTAAGAGTAACTCAAAATCTAAATAGATTTGAATACTCTTGAAAAATGAATGATGTTCGTGATTATAATAAACTACATTCAGCTAAAGTTTGTGGAGGAACGTACAGGATATTATCTATGGGGTCTTTTGGGCTCCGTTTGGTTATACGTAATCAGAATTAAATTGGAATTACAATCCTATGAATTGAAAGTGTGACACTGAGATTGTAATTCAACCCCAAATCCTTTGTTTGGGTGATTTTAAAAACTAACTAAAAATTGACATTCTAATACTAATTCTTGTGTTTGGATGCTTAGAAATTTAGATATTTTAGATTAACTTGTAATTGCAAAAATTTTTACTCAATTAATATATTTTTTGTGAATTAAAAACTTTGGTCTTCGATGTATGCTAAGGTATTAGAGTGATATCTATGGTGATTTATGTGTTATTTTGGGTAGTATCTATGTTAATATATGTGTTTTATGCTTAATTTTATCATAAGAGGTGGTTTGGACGAAAATGATGAAAAAGTGCTAATTTTGGAGATTTTTAAAACTTTTTGTTGAACGAATTTATGTTCATAGGTAGAGGCAAACTTGATTTAGCACGTGATCACGTTGAAAATAAGCAGGAAATTTCAATCAAATACCAAAGTGTAAAATTAAGAAAGTTTTGGGGCAAAATATAATTTCTACAAACGTTAGGAACCAAACTACAATTTATTAAAACTTGGAGGGCTGCTGCGATTTTGGACCTCATGTTGAGATATATTTCTTAGGTTTTAGGAGTGAAAAATTCCTAACCTTTAGGAATAGGTCAACCAAATCTTTTTCACGCTCAAAAAGGATTGTTTTAAGAGAAGATATCTTTTAATTAGAAATTATCTTTATTCCTTAGATAGACTTAATCTATTTTAAGTTTATAAAAAGGTATAAATTTATTTTCTTGCTGGTTAAGAGATGTCAACAAAATCCAATTTGGCCTCTACTTCGTAAAAATAGGGATACAGTAGAGATCCTACTTCTTCTCTTACTTATCAGGCAAGATTTTAGCCATCCTCCTGTATAAATAGAAGGAAAAATTCGGCTTAACCAAGAGGGGAAGAATAACAACACCGAAGCAGCAACAGAGACGCAAGAAGGACAAATTTCTCACAGTTTTCTTCTCTACTACCTATGTAATGTCAATTATTAACTCTTTTGCTATTAATCCTGTTAAGATTAGTAGCTAAACTCTTTTCTAGTTGAAAGATTATTGAAACATTGATTCATTGTAATTTTGAGATCTAATTGGTCATATTCTTTTCATAAATTCATGAGTATTTTTTTATTTCATGATTTTTGGGTTTATGATTGGTTTTGTTTGATTGAATAGGCACGCAATATTCAATTCTTTCAAATTAATCTATAGTTATTTAAAACGGCAAATCCGAAATTGTTTACTAGTTGTAATAAGTGACAATCAACAACTCAGACTACCTGAGTAAGCAGTTGATGCGTGTTGTAGAAATAACTAATCCAATTTAAATTATCTTGACTATTTGATTATTAATTAGAATTGAGTTTCTCTAGATCTTAATGTTGTTGAAACACTAAATCCTATGAACATCGCTTGGGTTGTCTTCTTATTAGAGAAATACTTAACTATTTTATATTGACTACCGATAAAGTAAAGAGAAATTCGTTGTTAGGCCGTGTCAACAACTGTAACGAATTTATTTGTGAATTCTATGGATTTATCATTACATCAATCGATTGGATCAATGCAGAACTAATTCTTTTGTCTAGAATCTTTCTCTCTTTATTGTCATCTTAACTTTATTTGTTTATTTAGTTGTGTTTTACTTATTTGAAGTTCGAATTAAACTCCATTTGTTTACTTCAATTTTAATTAAATGTAAATTCATTTACTTGTTCCCTGAGGAGATGATCTCACTCACTGCTATACTACAAAATTTGTTAGGATCGAGTAGGTTCTTTTATTTTTGTTTAATTGACACCTACCAAATTTTGGCGCCGTTGCCGAGGACAGTGAAGTGATTTATTTCCTTTTAGAAGTTGTTGTTTTGGGTTTTGTTTTTATCTATATTGAATTATACATGTATTAGAGATTTCTTTTTTACCGTAGATTTATATCGACATAATCGATATAACTCACGGGATCCAGAGGAGGTAAACTTTTGTCCTTGATTCAACAACCAAATGAATTGTGTTTGTTTGGACAAGCACTCATTTTATATTTTAACCCATTTTACCTCTTAAACACAAAACCCAAAGGAAAAGAAAACATCATCCAAATAACTTTCTGATTTACATTTTAAATTCCAACTTGAAACACTTTTTGTTAGTGTAATGACCATTTTTGAACTAAAAATAGTTCAGTGACGAAATCTAACAAAGGAAAATCTTAGAGTGACAAATTTTCTAAGTTTCTGTTATTTAGTGATTGTTTTTGGAAAAATTCTTTTTTAAAGTGACTATAATTGACAGTATTTAATTGTTTAGTGATGACTCGTACTTGATATTTTCAAAATGTAGTTCAAAATATTTTTTTTCAAAACCAACATCCAAATAACTTTTTGCTCAAAATATCATCCAAGCAACATTTTAATTTCCCATTTAGTTTTCAACTTGAAACACTTTCCACTTTTAAGTGGCAAGTGATATTTTTACTGCTCTAGCCAACTAATAGTGGAAAAAAAAAAGTGGGGGAAAAAAATAAAAAGGAAATTCAACCTTACTCATCATAGAGATTTAGATGATCATAAAAGTTCTTTTATCTTCCTCCCTTTCGAGCTCCATAGTTTGGTACATTTCCAAACCTCCACCGAACTTTCTCCGAATTAATTCAAATCCAAATCCAAACTCTTTTCTTGCCACCATAATCTTTGCCACCTTCAGCTTGGAAGGCCCATCACTCAATTTCTAACTTATAATTAGCAGGTCCTGATAAGAAAATAATTATTTCGCTCTATGAAATCCCAAACCAAAACGGTTCAATCTCAAATTACAGAAACGTTTTTAAATCAACTTACATAACAAATTCACTTGTAATTTGATATATATGATGTGGATTCTTTTAAAAAGGCACAATATTTCTTGTAGTGCAATTTTTCTGTTGTTTCTTTCTTTCTTTTTTTTTTCCTTTAAATAATTTATTGTTTTATTTTTAGTTGCGTATTTGTTTTAGAATTTTTATTAATTATTTAGTGAAATTGTAAAATATGTTTATAACATGCTAATCTGTGAATTAGTTAGGAAAATTCAGTGGAATACATTGAGTATAACCTTTATTTGCTTGTGGTTATAATCGGGGTGGTAGATTTAATCACTAAATTCCTTCTCAATGAATAATTTCGCGATTTGTAAAAATGTCATCTCATTTTTCTTCATGAGTGTACCCAATGTTAATTCATCGCCATCATCGTCTTCAACCTCTTGTTTCTTTGGTACCGGTTTTGAGTCACCTGAAGGCATTATTTCAGCTCGCCCATTAGAATTATATCCGAATGCTTGCCTAGTAAACTGGAGGACATAAGACAAAAGGCGGGGCACTGGAAATTGAAAATATTTAAAGAACTCAAATGCCGTTCTTAAGTGAGTATGATTGGAACCACTAATCTATAATCATTGATATAAGTAGACAAGTTAATCTTTTAATCAATTATTATCTCTTCATGTATTAGTAACAGGAGAACAACCTATCGACGGCATTGATAATGTGTACAATGAAAAATTTTGCAGTCATTACTATCATTGAGAGATGAACGTCGATAGTTTTTTTCTTTATTGTATCCATTAATTAATAATTTTTTTCTTAATGAACTTGCAATGTTCATAACAAAAGTATGTAGAATACTAGAATGTTTCGAGTCCGTGCCTTAAGCAATCTTACAATGTTGATTCCTTTTCTTTTGTCTTTTTTTTTTTTTTGATTAACTCACATGTCTATAATAACTTACTAAATATCGTGCCAAAGTAGTGCTTTATTCCGGCAAATATTAGTTAGGGCTAATAATTCATTTGCTAAGTCTTCATTTTCATGTTAAACTTTAAATAATTCATTTGATTTCCTATTCTCCAACCAGACAAATATTAAGAGTCAAGAAAACTATTCTTGTACCCAAAAATAAAAAAGAAAGAAAGAGAAAAACTAGTTCTTATCTCCTATTCTGCATTGGAATCGAAAGAGCCATACATTTTAGAATATTAATGGCCAGGCCGTGAGAAACTGTTTATTGCTACGAAAGATTAGTATCATTTGCTAAGTTTAGATACTAAAAAATTTTCTTATTTATTTGATCCTTTTGAACCATTTATTTTACCATCTTTCAAGAAAATTATTATGGGGCGAACTACCCATGGTGATTAAAACTTGTTATATTATCATGTCAGGGAATTATTATTATTATTATTATTATTATTTTTGGTAATTTCAGAACCATGTTTGTAAACAATGTATGTTCATTATGTACCGAATATAAATTTATGTGATTGTACAAATCATAAAACCGACGTTAAATAGGAGTTGTGTGTGTGATATTTTTACCTTATGTTGTTACCTTTGATGTGTGCTTGTACAAAGCATAAAGCTATCTTAAAAAAAAATTTATATCAAAAACAAAAAAGTTCGCTTTGATGTATGGTTTTAGTTTAAAAATGTGTGATTTTTTAGGACAAAAAAAGGAGCATGTTTTAGCCACCCAATGGTAGAGTAATGAGTCATTAAAATTATGGACTACTTGCATGCCAGAAGTTGAATGAACTTTACGTAAATATTGTTGTTGTTAAACATGATTACGACAGTAATTATGCTTGATTGCTTTCAAAAATATTGCTGTCTTTTTGGGTGGAGGCGGGGAAGACCTTGGAAAAGAGGATATATGAAGCATATAGATACCATATATGGAATAGTGATGAAAAAACGACAAGAAATCATCAAGAACAGAATAATCTGAGCAAAAGATGAAGTCAACCAAACGTTACAAGCAAGGGAGTTTACAACCGTATCTGCAATGGATTAAGGCACGTTTGGTATGTTTTTTAATGACAATTTCATAATATTTTGTTCATAAACCTCACATCCCAACATATCTTTTATATTATCAATACACTTTTTTACATTTTAAATAGAAAAATATCTAAAACAGACACTAAAAAACAATTCAAACATAACCTTACTTTTACAACCACGCTCTCTTCTCCGTATATAATGCATTACAATATCTAGAAGCTACTAACACTAACCGGCTCTTATTTACTAAGCTATCTTGGATTGCTTACTTGGAATTGATGAGCCTAATGTTAATGTCCCACCAAGGTTTATTACTCAAATTTAGGGAGAGTGGCCGTGGAAACACAAAAAATCATAATAAAAAAGCAATTAATGAAACTCTGCAAGAATCTATTATTATTGTTGTTTGACCATGAACGCACAACTTTCGCACAATTCTCCCTTGAACCTTGATATATAATTTGCTTACAGCATTTTTATTTGATGAAAGAGATTTCAGAGTTTTGGATAACTTCTGAATAGAGGATTCTATTGATAACACTAAGAAATGTGTCTTCAACTATGATATGGTGATGCGCGCTTAAATTGGGGCAGGTCAACTTCTTTGAGTAGTTTTGAAGACGATATGAATGGAAGTTACAAATTCAAGGTGGAAAAACAAAGGGCGTTGGAAGAGATGAGAAATGGGAATTTTAAAGTTCCTTGTATCGACAAGCTTCATAAATACTCCTTCCGTTTCAAAATAAGTGTCATTCATTTTTTAATCCTATAAAGAGTTTTAAAAGAGATGTTCTTTTGCTTTACCTTTTTAATTATGTTATCTGAGGTAATTGTGCGACATACTACTCCAAATTGAGTAAAATATGTGATTATCGTCTAGAAGATATTTTGTGCCATTAAGAAAACGTCAAGCTTTGAAGATAGATTTCTTTGTAATAACATCCTCTATCTTTGGTGAAGTTTTAGGCCTCTGCAGTGAAATCGGGATAATTCCACCATATATATATCCACATTTGATGTTAGCAAAACTATCTTCACTTCAAGTAAACAAGAACTGAAAGATTCTATGTGTTTGGATCGATTCTTTTCAGAAACACTGGGAATTTGAGTTTCTTAAGTTAATTTAGTGATCATCTAAATGAGTAACAATTAAGAGTAAAAGTATTTTTACATGTTTGTTATCAGCTTTTTCTTTTGTTAATGGGAGAAGTAAATATCAAAGGTAAAAACTGCTTCCTAGCTATATTTCATGGTTTGCTTAACGGTAAGCTTCTAAGTACTGCATCTTCTTCTTCTTTCATTAAATTTCCCAGCTCACTATTTTTCATTTTCAGGAAGAAAAAAAAAATCAGTTCACAATTTTTGTTTCCAAAATAAAGAAAATTATTCAAAAAAAGCTATGTTATGGGCCAATTTTCAAATGAGGTCACGCGCAATCATGTTTTTAACCAGACAAATGGGCTCGCCCCTACAACATTTTTAATTATTCTTGGATAGAGAATTGGATTTTTCTTCCACACTAGACTACTATCATGAACTTGGGGTCAAAATAAAAATAGCTTAAATATAGGAATACTTTTGTAATATTTCTAGTTTTAGACATTTGGCCGGAATAGAATAAACATGATCGAACTCGGTTGTAATAGGGTTATCAATGAATGAAATATTTCTTTGCCTGAATTGGATAACCGCCTATTCCTTGCCCCTCTGTAATTTCCTTCTTCAATTATTTATGATCAATTGCTTCCTCTTGCCCTCTGAACTCTGATTCTCGGTGCCGTTCTTCACATTCCGGTCACCGCAAATCGATTAATTCACTTTCCGACCTCTGTACCTGACGACCACTGGAATTAGAATACCGGGCTCTAAGTTGGAAGTTTATGCCCTCCTAAGCAGATTATGAAACTTTAAACCTTGGCGCCAAAATAAATGGCCGAATCAGGAGACCGGAAATCACAGTTTCAAAAAAAGGCCACCAGAATACATTTACTAGAATTGAGAATTTGCTATGTATGTTCATCTTTTAGGAGCCAATCAACGAAATTTTAATCTAATATCCTTGGGAATTTACACGAGCAGCTAACACGACATTTGGGCCCGTTAAGTTTAAACCCGATTGAGAGTACTCGGAAGAAATGTGGTCCAATAAACATGCAAGAAAAATAATTCCAAGATTCATATTAATTAGTTTGTGATATATATTCTATCCGAAACTTTAATGCGAAATATTAAACGCTTCTCTAAATTACGAGTACACATCCCATGAAAAAAAATAATTAAAGTTTTATTTACGAAGTTTGACACGATTATGCCTATTTCCTGATCTCAAGCACGAAAATCGTACCGTATCTATGAGAATGAATTACAATTGTACCATAAACAAATAGAATCTAAGATGGGGCGCGACATCAAGATTTGGCATAGTTACAAGAATGGAATGGATGAATGAATAATAAATGAATTGTTCAAGAAATTTTAGAACTTTCCAAGATCAATCAGTAGCGACTTCCCTCAAAATAATCTTATTTTGAGTTATTAAAATAAGATTCTCTTTAGTCAACTCACGTGTATGTCATGTGAAAGAAGTTGACGGTTGATTTTTGGATGAAAACCTCAGAGAAAACTGAAAAGTAATAATCTTTAACTTATGGTGTCATATATTAATGTTTGAAACTTGTAGTTTCGAATAACTATAGCGCACAACTCTGTAGTACTTTTGGAAGTATTTTATTCTGCTGTAATTGGTTTTTTAGCAAGATTTTGAAAAATTTAAGAAGTAAATGTTTTCTAATAACGAACTGAAATACCGACCGATATTAGTAACCTAATTACTCCCTCCATCCCACAAAAATAGTCCACATTGAGGGAATTGTTTTTTTAATTCTAAAAAAAAAAATTGTTGAATAGAGGAGGACAACAAGAAAATCCTGTCCGGAAAAAGATAATCAAAAACCGGAATAGGAAGAATTTTGAAGAGAGAAGTAAACTATGTCCAAATATGTTGTTTTTCATATCACCCACAAGAAAGAAAAATTGAGGGGAAAAACCCAATGTACACTGCACTTTTTTGATAACAGACAGAAAACCCAAGACTTCTTAGCTCATAGAAGCAAGCCTAACAGAAAAACAACTTTGCTTAATGTAGTGAAAATGGCATATCTCAAGAACCCACCACCCATCATCATCTTAGAGAAACCCATATCAGGAAACTCGCCCCTAATCTCTTCTTCATCGTCTCCTGTTGCTGATCAATGTCTTCGCTAGTAGGAAGCCCCATGGAATTTTGCCTTTGATCGAACATCATCTTCTCCACCGCCGCTCTTGTCTCCAAATCGAAATGAGACATTTTGAATGGCTCAAGCTCCGCCTTCTGGGTGTAGATTTTGGCACCGCCTTTGGTCAAGCTCTTCCACCAATTCGACCCCCCCCCCCAATTCAGTTTTGTTAGTAAAGCATACTCCCTCCGTCCCCTAATTATTGTTTTTTTTAATTTTTAGTTCAAACTGTACTAAAAATGAAATTTTAAACTAAATAATAATTTTCGAACATAGGGAGTACATTCTTATTTCTTGGCCTGGTTTTAAAATAACCTCCAACCCCCGGCCACATGCGTGACAAAATATTGAATCACAATTTTGTAACAATTGGTCATTGCATGATCCTCTTATAAAACACGGTTCTCGTCCAATAAAAATTTCCTTCCCTAAATTATTAAAGTTAGATATCAAAATAACACGAGCGACTTATGAGTGAAATGTGAAAGGATTGAGACAAAAGAAAAATTAGCATTGCATGCTCTAATAATGCACGATCATTTGAGAATGAAAATTTTGTTGCCATTTTAGTCTAGCGCGCACTACATGCAATAATTTGAGTATTTACAATGTAAAATTTCTGCAGTCATTAGGGTTCCATTACGAAGTTTTATTTATATTCTACCTCTTTTCTAAAAAAAAAAATAGTGCATATTTAGTTTTATAATTTGCATTAAAGAGTAGTACGAATGTAAAAATTCAATATGAACTATTACTTTAGAATAGAGGGAGTACAAAAATAAACAATTTCAACACTATTTTTGCTCTTATTCAATATGAAGAATTAGAAGGTGCTTGGTATGAGGATTTGAATCCGAATTGCTGGAAAGGAAAGGAAATGATGTTGCTTGATTGCTGGGGATTCAATCCCGCACAGTGGTTTGATGGGGTATTCATTCCACATCATTCACTCATTGGAGGATTAGGAGAAATTAAGTCATAAATCATTTATTTTTTCATTTTTACCCTTAATTTTCATCTTTTTCTTTCATATTATCTTCTCTCTCATCCATCACCGCCGTGCCACCATTTGCCACCAACCTCCTCTTTCTCTTATTCTTCAACCTTATTATTTTTGTTCTTCTTCTTCTTCCCCAACTTTTACTTTTCTTCCTTTTTGGCTTCGATTTTGCTAGCAAATTCCTCTTTGTCACAGCCAATTTGGAGCACAGTTTTTTGTTTCAATCAAATTTAATTCATCCAATTCGACTATAACATTCTAGTGCATATTCAATATACAGATATATTTGTGAAACATCGATTTAGAAATTTTATCAACTTTGGCTTCTTGTTCTTCCATTTTTTCCCTCTCTTCTCTTCGATCATAACATCTTGTTCGTGAAGGATTTTATATATATATATATATATATATATATATATATAAATTTACTGTCGTTCCTCCCACTTGGCATGAACAAATTAATTTTATTGAAAATTCAACAGCAATAATGTTAAAGTCACTTTGGGCTCCCATCACAAAACCAATTGGCTATGAGTGGGTTGACCTTTGGCATTTATAAACATGTAACAGATCTTTCACGAAAATTATGTTGTGTTGTGCAATCCCAATGGACCAAATACCCCATTGGGCTTGAGGGAGGGTGTTGGGACAAAAAGAATCCCACATCGGTGTCGTGAAGGATCTGTCACCTGTTTATAAGTGCCAAAGGCCACCCCACTCATTGCCAATTGGTTTTGAGATGGGAGCCCAAGGTGACTTTGACATGGTATCAGAGCCCACGATCTGTGGACCTATGATAACTATGGACCCGCGTGTACGAGCTTGGACCGTGTGTCGTGGACTTGCGTCAATCGCTTCCGTGCATACGGGTCGGCTTGTGTACTGACCCGACAGTATATCCGGAGTTGTGGACTGACCCATCAGTATATCTGGTGAATTATGTTGTATTATGCAACCTTAATGGGCCAAATACCCTATTAGGCTTGAGGGAGGGTGTTGGGACAAAGAATCCCACATCGGTATCGTGAAGGATCTGTCACCTGTTTATAAGTGTCAAAGGTCAACCCACTCATAGCCAATTGGTTTTGAGATGGGAGCCCAAGGTGACTTTAACATGGTATCAGAACTCACGATCTGTGGACTTGTGATAACTATGGACCCGTGTGTGCGGGCTTGTGGACTAACCTAGCAGTATATCCGGAGTATGTACCCATGTGTACGGGCTTGTTGACTGACCCACCAGTATATCTGGTGAGTTATGTTGTGTTGTGCAACCCTAATGGACCAAATACCCCATTGGATTTGAGGGAGGGTGTTGGGACAAAAAGAATCCCACATCAGTGTCGTGAAGGATCTGTCACCTGTTTATAAGTGCCAAAGCCCACCCCACTCATTGCCAATTGGTTTTGAAATGGGAGCCCAAGGTGATTTTGACAAATAAAACCTTCTAGTCGTTCTAAGAAAGTATGGAGTAAGGGAACTTTGATTTTTAAAGATTTCTTGTATTTAATATAGGAAGTTCGAAGTAGTAATTTAATTAAGAGCTGAACTGTTGGCGAAGATGGATAGAGTATGTTGTTTGATGCAATGATGAAGATGGAATTTCGCCACTTCCAATTTCATACCACTGTTTAGATGAACTAAGCAGTTAAAATGGGGCTTTGACAACCTTCAGAATGATTCCAAGTGAATCTCATATCCGATTAATTCATAGTAATTATATTGTTGTACTAGACACCTCCTTAATACCCACTAACTAGTTACCTTGTGTTATTCAATTTACAATTCATTTGAGTTTCAGTACTATATTTGCCATCTTGCACTTGAAAAATTTAACCAGCACTATAATTCATAGGAAATTCCAATAAATCGATGTGCAACACTAGAAACAAACGATGAAGATGACAAACACATAGGCCCTTCGTGTCATAAAATAGTTCTTATTTTAATTGGGGAATTGTATTGTTTGTAGGATTAATGTAGATTATTTGTGTGTGATTATGATTTAAAATATTTTAGTAGACAATAGTTGAAGGGAATTGGAAGCCTAAAGAGCAAGTTGATATTTACAGGAAGAAACTAAGGCAAAACATACTCTTTCACAGTAATAAAGGGTCGTGTTGTTGAGCGTCCTAATTTTTTCATTTGAACGCCCTAAAAAGACGTACACGCCCCTGTAAAATGGAGTTACATTGTTTTGTTTTGCAAAAAAAAAAGTATGGCAAGGAAGGATTAAGCCACCCCTTTAAGGGGTGGCGTGAAATAATCTCGCCTCCCTCTAAAGAAAGGCGAGAAAACCTTCGCTGCATGGCGAAGGTGTGGCCACATTTGTGCTGGTTTTGCTCGCCAACCAAAGGGTGGGTGGCGCCATTTTGTGCGCCACCCACCTTAATTACTTTTTTTTAAATTTTTTATTTTTTTAAATTTTTTAATTAATTAATTTAATTATTTTTAATTTAATTTTTTTCATGTATTTAATTAATTTCTTTTATTTATTTTAATTATTAGTTTAATGAATTTATTTAATTTATGTATTTATTTAATTAATTTAATTCATGTATTTATTTTTTTATTTATTAAAGTTTATTTTTTATTTATTTATTTGGTGGTTAAATAAATAATTTTAACTTAAATATTTTGAGAATGTTGCTTAATTACGTAGTAAATTTTTATAAAAAATTATGATTTAGTTATGTAAAATTTTTTAAACGTAAACAAAAAGTTATCATTTAATAAAAACTAAAACTTATGAATTTACTACCAAACAAATTAATTATTTATCATCGGTGCATCTAGCCGTCCTGGAAATATTTTTTTGAAAAAAAATATAAAATATAAAATACGTTGCAACGAAAAATTAAAAAGCATGGGAAAATATAAATTACTTTTATTTATTTATTTAATTTTTTAATATTTTTTCTTCCTTTTTAAAAAAGGATTAATAGGGTTCCCATTTACTCCCTATTACAAAATCAAATATTTAAGTTAAAATTATTGTTCAACCGCCAAATAGATAAATAAAAATAAACTTAAATAAATAAATTAATTAAATAATTAATTAAAGAAATAAATTAAAAAAAGAAAAAATTAAAAAAAAATAATTTCGGTTTCGCGAGCAAAACGCTTGCCAAACCGAGGGGGGTGGTGCCAGATTTGTGCGCCACCCCCATTTTGGACACCAAAAATTTTCTCGCCTCCCTTATTTGGGAGGCGAGAAAATTGGCGCCACCCTTTAAAGGGTTAAAGGGTGGCGCCTTTCTCATACGCTCCAGCATTTTTTAAAATAATAATAATAATAATAAGGGTATAATGGTCAAAATATAATTTTTTAGGGCGTTCAAAGGAAAAAATTAGGGCACTCAACAGTTTCCCAACTAGTAAAATGGAGAAATTTCAAAATAAGTGTCGTACTTTGATTTCAAAAATCTATTATTTTGGAATGGATGAAGTATGTGGGCTTTCATCATTTCTGGGGATCTAAATCCTAGTTTTTTTCACCCCAAATCTATTTTTTTATACCACGCGATATGTGACTAGGTAACTTCATAGGCGATAAAATGCATAGGAGTCAAGGAAAATTCGTGTCTTTAATTCTACACTGAATTTTAAAATTAACAAAAAAAGAAAAAAAACAAAAAAGAAAAAAGAAGAAGCCTAGAGGCTTGGGCGAGAGTGCAAACACAATGAAAAAAGTTTATGGCAGGGAAAGAGTAAGGGTGTTATTTTTCGCAGTTCAAAAATTACTCACTTACAGTTTGTTTTAGACAATTTTGCCCCTGAACTGTTTTTTCTTCTCCAACATACACTAATTACATTAATTACAAATAAATTTAACTAAATTTATTGAACAATAACACAAAAGATAAAATTAAAGTAATTATACAAAAAAATAATGATAACAAAAAAATAATATTAAAATTAACACAAAAAATTAGGGAAAAAAAAAAGAAAAGGTAAGGGTGGCCGGGGCCGCGCCGGCCACCTTTTGAAGGTTGGCCAGTTTACTCACCGACCAACCGGAAAGAAGTGGCCGACCCATCGAGTGGCCACTTCTTCCTGATTGGCCGCTGA